GCTGCTACAACAACGTTGACTTGTACATAGCATTTTCTTTTCATTCTTACAAACATTTCACTTGTACGTTTTACTTTAATGTGATTTTATGCATGTTTATCATACATAGGTATGCACATACGTACATGTTTATAACACGCGTAGGAGGTTGAAACACAATGGCAACGCTGTGCACTTTCACTGCCAGACATGCACATAGTAACTGTTCGCCACACTGCGTCTTCATTAATGCTTGTACAAACCTAAAACTACTAAAAAATATATAAAAATAACACTAAAAATGTTTCAGGGGATAAAAATAATGAATAAATACTGTCGCTCTGGGGCTACCAGTCATTAAGACGGCTCAGACGTAATCATTTTCCGGTAATTTTTCAGTATCTTCATTGCATATATATAACCAGTTTTGCCATATGCTGGCTTACTCTTTCATCTACTATAAAAGTGCAGTTACAAGCGATAACATGTAAAAACAGAATTGTAAGCTTTCTGTAATATAACACTTTTATATGTACTCTATCTCCAAACATACTCTACAGCAGAATTTCCCAAAATGTGGGGCACAAATGATCATTTGGTGGCGAGATCGATTAGAGTAGAGTTAAAGTGGCAATAATACAAAATTAAGCTTTTTAATACGTTTTATTAATTAAAATAATATGTAATTACTACAACACATATAACATTTTAATGCATATACGTGTATGACACTTAACTCACCCATTCACTCATTAAAAAAACAGTGTGGACGCGCAAGAAACCATGTCCATTAACTGGGAGCGTGGGTGACAAACGTTTGGGAAATTCTGTTCCTTAGTGTTAGTAAAGTTCTAAGTATTCTAGCTGACGTCATCAAATACACGTCTGCTAACGTTTTAGGTTCTCTAGCTGTAATCACTCACTGTCATAATCGAGTGGCTAACACAATATATCTCTTAAATAAAAATAAAATCACTCAATAACTCGGAAAGTAGAGGCCACAACACATTTCACACCTTTTCGAATTCTTAGCAATCGTCTCGATGTTCTATCAGCATTACTTCTAGTAGCATCAGCAGTTCTTAGTGTCGAAACCTAGAGAATTTCAATATATGTATAAACACTTGTATATATGTACACTATATGCTAATGCTGCAAAAGTAAGGGTCGCAACGTTCTATCAGCTGTTGAAGTTTCGATCAACTCCCATCCTAACTTTTGTTTCAACCAGTCTCAACCAGACTTTATTACAGCAGTACAGGATTTTCTTGGAACTTACCAGAAACTTTCTTAAGCGCATTCACCTTCTTGAACTACGCCGAGGCTGTGGTAACAAGAACAAAAGTCCTAAGTTCCCACAAGAGTCCCTAGTCTGCAGTGACATCCTAGTACCCGACAAGTGTTCTTCCCAACAACTTGGGCCATGTGTAACACGTGCAAGACCTGTTTTACACTTGACAT